ACAACAGCCCCACGGGGAGGTGACATGAAAGCAGGTCCTCAGGCCCTTCACACACCACGCCCGCCAGCTCCCGCACGCTCACCGCCTCCGTGTCTCGGCTCTTGCAGACGATCTCGTGGGCTTGGGCACGCAGCTCATCCCTCTGCTTGTCCACCACCTCCTTCAGCCGCAGCATCACCTCCCGCTCCTTCCGTGCCGTGCTGTCTGAGCCCGGACACGGGCGGAAGGCGTGAGTGGCTCCCGGGACCCCAGGGCTCCCCCAACCCCCCAACACTACCAGGTTCCCTGGAGCTTCTGCAAAGCCCAAGTCTAACGTTCCCGGTAGAGAGCAGAGTAGGAACAGTGGAAAGAGGAGGGCTGAGAGCTTCAGACCATGCCTGACACATCCTTATGCTGACAACGGCAGCCCGTATCCTGTGGCTGCCTCCACCACCCTCCCGAGGACTTCGGGGGTGCTCTGGGGGTTGGGGGTCCCATAACGCTCCATCCCATGATAACGCTCGTGCTCCCCAGAAGCACAGGTCTCCAGGGCTGGGCAGCACGGAGAGCAGGTTCAGGCCTGCACCCAGCCCACTGTCCCCCACGGGAACACCCCATGGTGGCAGGGGACCCTGAACCTGCCGGGACACCCACCTTCCTGGGACTGGCTCTCCACAAGCTGCCCCAGGAGCTGCCGGTTCTGCTCTTCCAGGCGGGCCAGGCGGCCGTGCAGGGCTCGCTCCCGGCGCTCGGCCTCCCACAGCCTCTGCTCCGGGTCCTGGGGGATGGGACAGCGGGGTCAGAGCCACCCCGGGAGGACAGGGACACCCGGGCCAGAGCCATGCCGGGGAGACAGGGATACCTGGGTCAGAGCCATCCCCTGGGGGACATGGACAGCCAGGTCAGAGCCACACCGGGGGGGATGGGGATAGTGGGGTCTGGGACAGTGGGGTCAGATCCACCCAAGCAGGGACGGGACACCGAGGTCAGAGCTGTCCCCTGGGGGATGGGACAGCAGGCTCAGAGCCACCCAAGGGGGGATGGGGATAGTGGGGTCAGAGCCACCCCATGGGGCCGGGACAGTGGGGTCGGAGCCACCCCAGGGTACGGGGACAGCGGGGTCAGAGCCACCCCTGGGGGACAGGACACCTGGGTCAGAGCCACCCTGGGGGGATGGGGACAGCCGGGTCAGAGCCACCCCGGGGGGACGGGGCCACCCGGTCAGAGCCGCCCCGGG